AAGTTTTCAACAACTCCTTGCTCTCTAACAAAAGAGGCCTTGATTGTTTCAGGAATTATTTTGCCTGCTTCTTTGTTGTACAGCAGCAGAGGAGAGCTACTGGGCACCGTTCTGATGGTTACTTTCACAGGGCCATATTACTAAGTTAGTTGTGAGAAAGCATCATTGCCAGAATCCAATGTCATATATTTAGTCCAATATTACATCAACGGATCACACTGAAATACTTTGTTGTTGTTTAGTCGTTAAGTCGTGTCCGACTCTTCGTGACCCCATGAACCATATCGCGCCAGGCCTTCCTGTCCTTCACTGCCTCCCTGAGTTTGCTCAGTTTCATGCTCATTGCTTCAGTGATGCTATCTAACCATCTCATCCTCTGCCGTCCTCTTCTCCTTTTGCCTTCAATCTTTCCCAGCATCAGGGTCTTCTCCAAAGAGATCTCTAATACTATGATCTATCAAAGCAGTCTTGTGCAATGTTAATGTCAGTAATGAATGGAATCTACTGTCATTCATCATTTTCAGCTAGAAAAGTCCATGAAAAATAATGCATGTTTAGAGAAATTGCATAAAAATCAGTATGCATATTTTTTTAATTGCATGAAAATTAGTTATATTTGAAAATTCTAAAAAGTGCATTTCAGTCTAGTAAGCATAATGAGATAGTATCCCATAGGGAAAAAAAAGTCTTGTTACCATCCCATCATGAAAAAGCAAGACATAATCCTATAAATAAATGTTTATTAGAGTTAGCATTATTCTGTTCTCATGAGGTATGAATCTGAAATGTTACTAATCAGACAACATTAAAGTTGTGTTTTCTTACAGTCCAAATAAACTTGTTTTATAGCAAAGATAAGCTAACATGCACTAGAAATGGAAACAAAATTCCTTTAAAGTAGATGCTGGTTGCAGAGAAAGGTTGAGATTGTGAAATGATAATAGATTGTAAGGCAAGATAAACTAAGAAGAAGTTATAGCGTAGCTTAGTTGTTGCTAAGCTTAACCCTGTAGCTTAGAGTTGCTGGTATCAGATCATTACGTTTTAATAATGAACAATGTTGGGGCAGATGGTATAAACAGAGCACCCTGGGATCCAGTTGTTCCAAGGCCTGGCTGTTTGACAGAAGACTTTAGGATTAAGTGACTGAAATGATTAGATACAACCATTAGCATGAAGACGGTAATCTGTGCTAGGGGAGATAGCCTGCATTCACATCAGACCCACTAATCTATGTATTTGGGGTAGAACATGTGTTTTGTTTCTTACAAGGAACATAAGAAGTTAACCAAACGTCCTGCTTCCCGCATAACACCTAACATAAACAGAGATATGTAGGCCTGTTCAACCATGTGCACTGGTGGAAGTAGCCAAGCAAAAAGAGTGCACTGTTCATTCATGATGATAATTCTTTTTTGTAATTTTACATCTTCAGGAAAAGGGACTTTGAAAGCTAAGTATATACAGTATGTATTTGTGCTTAGAAATTAGCTCCATAGTTAAACTTGAAAATGGTGGGAACTAAATGAAATTTTTATTGTATCAAGACTATGACCTATATTTTTTTCAAAAATATAATGTTTCAATTTCAGGAAAGTTGGTTTTTTTTCTTTACTGTTTATGAAGTTGTTCTTTTCCATATCAACAGCATTTCATTAAGACAATCAACTGATTATCTCTTTTATTTACATGTCAAGAATGCCTGATTTGAAAGGTTTCTTGTTGGTGATTGCTCATGTGACATGTATCTTGGAATGCATCCTTTTAACATAGGAAAAAATGGAAATTAGGGCTGCTATATGCACTCACTGGAGGTGAGCCCATTTTGCTCAGTGGAACTTACTGCTGAATAAGTGTGCTTTGCTGAAAGGATACAGAAATCAGATTCTCTATTTACAAAGGCAGAAGCACAGTTGTATGTCTAATAGAGCTATGGGGTGCTTCAGATTTAGTTCCAAAAAGATGCTTCAGAGCAGCAGGTACATGAACATAGCACCTGCCTACAGCTCCTTATAGCAGTCATGCCCTTTCCCAGCAGCTGCAACTCTGTGATCCCAGGAAAAGATACAGCTGCAATCAGGTATTAAGTTCATGCCCCCCAGCACATTTCTGGAATCAAATTCTAAGTGGTGGATAGCCCTACTGTCTGATTTGGTCAATTCTTCTGTCTGTTGCAGTGTGCAAAGCAACTCTAACATAGTGGTTTAGCCTGATACTTTTAGATCCTGGATGTAATGATTTAATGTGGCATTAAAGCTCATCAGCTTCTTAAGACAGGTGGCACCAAATCAAATTGATTAAATAAGTAACACCCAGTCCATTCTGCAGTATCACAGTGTTGGATTTTCATTGTACTTACAGCATTGCCAAATAAAACATGAAATTGAAAACTGGTAGGTCTGGTTATAACATTCTTATCAATATGTTTAAGAAGCTCTCATGGTGAATTAAATTTGCAGAAGGAAAAAAAGATGTGCTTATTCTATCAACAGTTTTATGGAAGACAGACTCTTGGCTGCCCTCCAGCGGTTGTCTGAATTTTTCCAATCCACATAGACTCCCCTACTTGTAATATTATGGGATGAAGAATCTATTGTGCGCACACAAATTTGGCCATGATTGAATGTACATTTTGTTCCTATAAGCAAAGAGAAAGAGGCTAAGATTACATTTCATCCTTGAATAATTATTTTTAAAATGTCAGAATTACAAAATTGACAATAGTTCCCAAAGCCCATAGAGATATTAGGACCTTGGGGGTTCTGGGTTCTAGCCCCTAATGTGGCAAAGGGGGGACTGGAGTTGTTGTGGGGTGTGTGGATGTTGGATGAATGTGCTACCCTCTGCTCAGGTGGGAGGCGGGAAGAGGGTAGGAGTGGATATGGCCCTCTCCTCACTGGCTAGTGAGAGTGGCCAGTTGAGAGAGGGAGCGTGTTAGAGAAAGGGGAGTTGAGGTGACTGAGCCCCTGTTGGTGCTGAGAGCAGATAGCTGAAGTGCCACAGGGGTGCATTCCCCCTCCCCATATTTCCCTCTTGCCATGTATGGTTTGTGGTATGGCAGGCCCCTTAGGTCAGAAGCCAGGAGGGTGGGTGGAGGATCACCTTGGGTGATTCAGGGTGGGTATTCAGGTGGTGACAGGCATGAGGATGTTATGATGGGAGCCAGAGGGCAGGCCATTCCAGGGGAAGATGCCCCCGATGTATTATGCCCATGGCATGTTCTGGCCCTTTGGACTCAAACCCAGACCCTGGTCAGCAGGCCTACAGAGGCCCGGGCTTATGGCTGCTGCTGATGAATGCCAGGTAGGTCAATAATAAGGCCCCCCTTATTCACAACCTTATTGGGGAGGAGCAGGCCAACCTGGCATGCATTACCGAGACCTGGCTGACACCAGAAGGGGGTGTTGCCCTTTCAGAATTATGTCCAGCCAGGTTTAGGGTTTGGCACCAGCCGAGACCCCAGGGTAGGGAAGCAGGGGGTGGCAGTGGTCATCCAGGAATCTCTGCTGGCCTTCAGGGGCTCTGCTCCACAAGTGGCTGGATGTGAGACCCTGTTTCTGAGATTGGGCACACAGGATCAGTTGGGTGTGTTGCTTCTGTACCAGCCTCTCTGCTGCGTAGCCACCTCCCTGCCTCAGCTGCTGGAGGCCATCTCGGGGTTGGCTGGGGAGTTCCCCAGGCATATGGTCTTGGGGGACTTTAATCTGCCATCCCTGGGATTGGTCTTGGAGGCAGCTCAGGGGTTCATGACTACCATGGTGGCTATGGGCCTATTCCAAGTCATCTGTGGCCCGACTCAGGATAGTCGTCACACTCCAGACATGGTTTTCTTGTTGGAGCAGTGGCAGCATGATCTGGTGGGGGATTTGATATTATCCCCTCTGTCGTGGTCAGACCACTCTCTGGTGGCCTTGAGAGTCTCCTATGCTGCCCCCCTCCGCAGGGAGGTGGGACCTATTTGAATAATCCACCCCGGCGACTAATGGACCCACAAGAGTTCCAAAAGGAGCTGGGGGTTGTTCCTGAGGCCTTGCTGCATGGTCCAGCGGAGGCCCTGGCCGCAGCCTGGAATAAGGAGGCGGCTGGGACCTTGGACAGGATCGTGCCTGTGTGGCCTCTCTTGGCCCATTGCCGCCGGCACTCCCTGTGGTTTACGGAGGAGTTAAGGGAGCTGAAAAGGGCCTAGAGACGTCTTGAGTGCTGCTGGCAGAAAACTAAAGACAAGTCCGACCGAACATGGGTTAGAGCTGCTATTAAGGCCCACCTAGTGGCAGTAAGGGCAGCAAAAGGTCATTATTTCTCCACTCTTATTGCATCCTCAGTGTCACCCGGCAGCCCTGTTCAGGGCTACTCGGTCCCTTCTGGGTAGGGAGGGCTCGGAGGACTATCTACAGGGCCTTCCAGAGGAATTTGCTGAACACCTGACAGAGAAAATCGCTCAGATCTGTTCTCAGTTGGAGGCCAGGCGTGAGGTGGGTCCAGTGGAGATGTCTGGGGAGTGGTCTTACCCAGTTATCTGAGAACGGTTTGATCCTATTGGCCCTGAGGAAGTGGACAGGGACCTCGGGGCTGTTAGTGCATCTACCTGTATTTTGGATCCTTGTCCCTCCTACTTGGTTAAATCCACCAAGGAGGTGACTTTAAGGTGGGTACTGGCGGTGGTCAATTCATCCTTGCAGGATTCCCGAAGGTTTTTAAGGAGGCTTTGGTCCAACCCCTCCTCAAGAAACCATTGCTAGATCCCACCCTTCTGGACAATTTTCGTCCAGTTTCCCACCTTCCCTTTCTAGGAAAGGTGGTGGAAAAGGTAGTCACTCAGCAGCTTCAGAGGATCCTGGAGGAAGCGGATTATCTGGACCCCTATTAGTCAGGTTTCAGGCCTGGTTATGGGACAGAAACAGGATTGGTCGCACTTTTGGATGATCTCTGGTGAGAGCGGGATGGGGGTAGTGCATCCATCCTTGCTCTTCTTGTCCTCTCAGCAGCTTTCAGTACCATCGACCATGGTATCCTTTTGGGTCAGCTACAGGAGTTGGGGCTAGGTGGCACAGTTCTGTGCTGGTTCAGCTCCTTTCTCTAAGGCCTTTCGTGGTGCCTGGAGGCTGTAGGAGCCTGGATGGGGGACAACAGGCTTCAACTGAACCCTGGTAAGACGGAGTGGCTGTGGGTACGGGGAGCCTCAAGATCTAGGAGTTTATCATCTTTGGTTCTTGACAGGGTCACACTACCCTAGACAGACCCGGTGCGTAATCTGGGGGTCCTCCTGGACTCACGACTCCTGTTCAAAGAGTAGGTGGCAGTTGTGGCTAGGAGGGCCTTTGCGCAACTTCATGTTGTGTGGCAGTTATACCTCGGTCAGGAGGCCCTCCTCATGGTCACTCATGCCCTGACCACCTCCTGGTTGGATTACTGCAATGTGCTCTACATGGGGCTACCCTTAAAGAGTATCCAGAAGCTACAGCAGGCACAGAATGCAGCAGCACAGAAAGTTCTGAATGCTCCCAGGGGGCCCATACAACACTGCTGTTACACTAGCTGCATTGGTTGCCAGTTTGCTTCAGGGTCCAATTCAAGGTGTTGGTTATCACCTTTAAAGCCCTTCATGGCACAGGACCGGGTTATCTGAGGAGCCGTCTTGCCCCTCTTATCAGCCCACCCCACTTGGTCTGGCAGAAGGGGCATGTTGCAGACCTCACCAGTCAAGGAATTTCAACTGGTGGGATCTAGGAAGAGGGCCTTTTCTGCCATGGCCCCCACTCTGTGGAAAAACCTACCACCTGAGGTGCGGTGTGGAAAAGTGTGAAATCCTGGCTATGCCAGATGGCCTGGGGGCCAGATGGGGGCTCGCATCAGTGGAAGTGGCTTGTGGGGTAATTGATTTTGCCCCCCCCCTCTCCTTTGATAATTTTTTTTTTTTTTTTTT